TGGAAGTTTCCAGAATGAGGCTCACCTGTTCACAGTCCCGCATTTTGTTACAGGGGAATGTGCTGAATTGAAGCAGAATCCTACTTTAATCATCCAGACTTCAATTGTCTTGTTTATTACCCACAAATAAGGTAGCAAGCTGGAAACAGCCGACACCTACTGTTAGTTTTGCATGAAAGTGTGTAGCTCATAAATCCCGATCTGGGTTGACTTGCTGAGCAGTCGAATTATTATCCCTGCCACGGTAAACACCCGGGTTGAATCAGATCTGCCCCGCGCTTGAGTCTTCCCAGCCAGCGGAGGGGACGGCGCAGAGAGGGGCTCACCTTCACTGCGTACGTCCTCTGCTGTGTCCGGTCCCTCACCTTCAGGATGGGACCATAGGAGCCCTTAGCGATGCAGCCCAGGATCTGGAAGACGGGACAGCGCACAGAGGTCAGGAGCGCGGGCGCGGGGGCGCGCGGAGAGCGTGGGGAGCAGACGGGAGCGCGGATACCTGGAAGCGCTCCGGACCCGGGAGGCGGCTGCGATGCGGGAACTCGGGCAGGAAGAGGGAGATGAAGCCGGGCAGAGGCCACTCCAGGAAGGGCTCCTCGGGCGCCGGGGGCTCGGGCCGCCTCCCCTCCGTGATCGTGCGGCGAGGGGCGAAGCGCAGCCCCCCCCAGCGGCAGAGCCCCGCAGGGAAAGACAGGCCCACGCTGGAGAGCAGACCCCTCCACCCCGGTGCGCAGCGGGGGTCCTCCAGCAGGGGCTGGCCCTGAAACAGCAGTCACCGCCGTGACCGTCAGCACACAGACCCGCTCACCTCTGTCGCACGATCCGGCCGAGACCAGAAACTTCAGTTTTAGCAGGTGTTTTTCTGCAAGACCACCAGGGAAGCGGGGTCCTGTATCACGGGGCGCTAACGCTGTGAGAACGATCTCAGCAAAAAAGTTTAATTCGATAAAAGACGCATTTCGTTTTTTTGTTTACCGGAGGGAAAATACACTAGGCGAAGACAACACGGCCGGTGACCTACTTAAGCCAGCGATCCGTTTTTGCAAGAAAAGCAGCACGACTCGTGCCATCACAGCTCTAGAAAAAAAACAACACACGCACTGTATATCGTGCAAGTCTCCGTGGGTTCCGTGGGGGGCAACACTGTCAAGTTTAAATGCCGCTGACCGGAGTGTCCGGGCACTGCCGCGCAGGGCGGTGAGCAGAGAGAACAAGCTCTCCATAACTGCAATAAAACACAGCCCAGTAACTTCCTGCAAATCAGAAATACGAAATCAAAGCCGAAGACAAACTCGAGGGTCCGGGACACATTTCATCAGCGTTTTCGATCGCAGCTGATCAACCTTTGGTACATACGAGCCGTGACACCGGGCTGACACCCTGACCACCGGTCAAGAGCGCTGTTCTCACGCGATTTAAAAACCGTAAGGGCAATTGGGAACAACGTGCAAACAAGAAGTATATCTGTCGTAGTGTTGCAAGAATTAATGAAAAGGGTATTCATAATCAGGAGGCGTCGTAACCTGTCACGGACTGATGAGTCCCTTACCTTACTGTGGTTACTGACGTCAGCCCCCATCGGATGTTTCTTACAGGAGACTGTGTGGTCGTGCTGCGGTCTGTGCTCATTAATCCGTGGTTACAGACGAGAAATTTATTTATTTTTTTAATGCAAACACGGCGCTCCTGTTCCATTGCAAAACATCCCGTCCCGTGAAAAACGACGCCATGCTACCCCGATCGATTCACACCTCGTCGGACGGAGGGGCCGGCTGCCGGAATTAAAGGTGGTAAATACTGCGCAGATTGCGTTTTCGCTCCGGGAAATAAAAAAAAAAAACAACCTCCGTTGCCTTTTACATAAGCACATAATCCCCCTGTTTCCCTCAAGGCAAACTCCAGTAACTCCCGCCCCTCTTTTTAATATGTATGGGTCACGCCGGACTGGTGCGTCAAACGCGTGTCCGCTCCGGGCTGCTTTTCTGAGTTAGGGAGTCGGGACAGGGGTCACCTGCTGCTGTGTTTATACTCGCACGTTATTCAATTCTAAAAGTGACATGGTCTGGGATGATACCCACGTTTAAAATAGACGGAAGGTCCTATCTAAAATACTATTTTTAAATGCAAGGACATGAAAGCTGTGCGGAGCTTATCTTTAGGTTGTTTAAACTTTTTTTTTAAATGCAATTGCCCTACAGTATGTACTCCAGACGATGGTATTGATAGGTTATATGTACTGTTGTTTCGTTTGTATTGTAGGTATTTATATTTTGTGTTGACAATGGCGATATTTTATTATTTACATAGGGTTCTCATGAATAGGTTTGCACCAGTTGTCATAGTGGCGAGAGCGATCTGCCAATATCTTTCGTCACCGTCCTTGCGATGATACAGGATTCCTGTTTAACTGTTCAAAGACGCATCTCCCAACTTCTGAGCATAACAGCCGAGCTTTACAATTAGTCACAGACTGCCCGTGAAAAATTAACGCTAGTCCTTGTATTTATGCGTTCGTTCCCAACAAATTAAACAACTCTCATTACGCGCAGTCCACTTTCCTCATACAGTTACTGCATAATCTTCTTTATCGACACAGGCGGTTTCTGAAGGATGCTTCACTCTTTAACAGTTGTTGTAGGCGTAGGAATAATCGCTCTCTCGCGATTTTCTCCGCTTGGTCTTCAAAAGCAGTATTTCTCGGCAGTATTCGAAAAAAATAAAAATGCGAATTAACTACTGTGTGCTGTGTGGGATGAAAAAAGCAGCAAACCTACTCCAGCTGTAGATAATACATTAAAATCACGATCTGAGAACTGTTCTCTGCGCTGCGGGAGATTAAAAAGGTTTAGCTCATTTTTAATTGCCGTTAAGAAGAAACTTGCGCAGTACCGACTGCACCAGGCTCAGGTGGATCACTGAATTCGACCGTATTTGTTTTGTATTGTATTTTTGAGAGCTTAATGTTAAAAACCTCGATTCCTCCCATCGATACCTTTATAGTACCCGATTTTCCCTTTTCAGATCAATAACTAAAAGTGCTCCTCTTTCGGAGTGCTGCTTGCAATCCAGATGAGCCAAGGGTATGGTACAGCTGTTTCCTGAAAGAAGCAATGGTATCCGTATTAACAACAGGGCTGGGTAGCTTGTTCCAGACCCCCACAACCCTTCGGGTAAAGACAGAAAATTTGATCAAATCTCAAAACTCTTCTAGAAACACATGTATGGCAGCTTTTAAAAGTTTTAGGGTGACAAACGTTCCTTGGCTGATAAACTGCAATTGTGCACTTTTCTATGTTCAAGACCAGGCAACAGAAGAAGGGGTTTTATTCATAATGTGGGATTCTGGTGCCATTTCTTTCAGCCACGTCACTATAGAAGCCCAAGAGCAAGGAGTAACTGAATTAAAAATAAGGAGAGAAATGAGGGCCTTTATAATCAACATTCGGCTGGAGGCCCCAAAGCTTCAGAAAGACTGATTTTGAAGACCTATTCCATCTGAAAATCATTTGATTTCTCATGAACTGAGGGCAAATGCCCACTCTGGATTAACTAACACAGATTTACAAGCAGGGATTAGCGGTCTAGTCTACCATCTGAAACTCTGACCGGTACCAATCTGTCTGGGGGAAAAGAATTTGATGAGCCAACCAATACCAGCTGCCGACAGGACAGGCAATGTGTGTGTACAGGTAGTATTTTTATTGACAAAGACAATTTCAATCACATGCATGGTGACTGGTACATCCTTCCCTCCGTTATCAGTTAAAACGAAAAAAAAAAACACAGCCTAGGGAAGAGTAGAAAGAAAACCCTTCTGCCTTTCGGATCCCTGAAACGTTCTACCCAACGTCATCTTCAGTGAGGCTAACAAAGAAAGAAGAAGGAGCATGTGCCATGCACAGAATTTAGAAAGAAAGACGCCGAGGTTACAAAAATATTCCAAAATCCTTTGCTTAAAAAGTGCCATAGTGTTAAAGTTACAAAATATCGCTCAGATCTGCACTAGGAAACTCATTTTGACTGTGATCAACCTCGTTGCCAGAACACAAGTTCAACAAGTAAATCGGATATTTCAGCACTATGCTCTAACTTTGCGCTATAACTGAGGTATTGCACACAGGGGGATAGGGACAATGTTGCACTACAACGGCGTAGAGCAGAAAGCCTGAGCAGTCACACCCGGAACATTGTGCTTTCTGTTAATATCCCTCTCTCCTTCCTTAACAGCCATCTCCGCCAGCAGCCATGTTAAATAAGAGGTACAGTAGGAACCAATGCCGTTAACCCATGGGAGAGAATGCTATAAAGACCTGTGCCAACATCCAACACTGTTCCTGTTAAGCCAGGATTGCACTGGCTGTAATGGGCAGAAAGAAGGTTTTATTTTTTCAGGAGCAATCTGGGGTCGCCAGACCGAATGCTACAGTACCACACACCCTAGGCAGTGGGAGCCTGAAAGACATTTTACATGAAAACCTGAGCTGGCAAAAACGTTTGCCCTATTACAGCTATTGGCTTCAGCAGGGTGTTCAGAGACCAGGCGTGATGTCTGCCCATGGAAACAAAGGAGATTAATGGATCCACTGTAGAGGCCTCCTTCACTAATCTCAGGTCCCGACAGCTCACAATGTGCCGCCTGCCCCAAGCACACGGTCCCCCTCCCCCTGCAGGAGGGACACCAGCGACCGAAACGGGGCCCAGGATGGACCAGGGTGCGACCCCAGACCTGGCCGGCAGCCAAAGAGAATCAGCCTATCGAGGATTGCTCAGAGGCAGGGGGGGTGGTCCCCCAAACACGTCTCCTTGTCTCCTCTACAAATCAGAAAGCCACTGGATTCGCGCGACATGGCAGAGGGAGTGGGTATGGGCGCAGACAGTGGGCAAAAGCAGAGGACAACCAGGCGGACACAATCCTTTAACAAGAGCACGAGTACAGTCCCCACAAAGAACGCACCTCTAGCATGCGAGAGGAAAAGGCAACAGCTCATTCTTTCACCTTCTTTTCTTACGGCCTTTATTTTCTCCTCATATCAAGCGGACAAATGCACAGCGAATAAGACTTTATCAAAAAGTCTTACAGAAAAGTGTGAAGTCTGGGGCACTGGGACAACACAGGGGGTGAAGGAATACAACTACAATGCTCTTGTTGTGTACTTTGTGTACTACTTTACAGCCAAGAATCACAGAAAATAAGAAGACAGCAATCAAGTCTTTTCTTTTAAACCTAGTATACAGTATAGTGCTCAACCTCTCTTACTAATGAGACGGCTTTCCTAAGGGGAAAAATGATAAACCCCACCGGTACACACCTCACAACTGAGCGAATCAAAAAAAAAAGAGCTGACTTCCATCATCATCATGATTTAAATATCTGATCGAAAGCTTTTTTTTTTAAAAAAAAAAGTGAATTAAAAAATAAACTACTGATAACGACAGAGAAACCGGTTCTGAAGCGGAAACGTTTTCATCCTGGATCAGACAGCCTCCCCCCCCCCACCGCCACACCAAGCGCTACTCCTCGTGTGAGATATGAAGTTACCCATGTGCACAGTGCTCTTTATTTACACCAGACACAATCCCCGGAGCCGGCCTCGGGTCTCCAGCCGGCGCCTGCTCCGTTCCTTCTGCTCCCGGTGAGCTGAACAGTCGAGATTCCAGCCGGACAGCGGTAGCGTTCCCGCAGGGGATACTGAAGGCAGTTTTGGGCGATGGCTAGGGAATGCTCTGGGTCCATCTGGCTGATGGCGATTCCGGTTGTTTTTTTCCCCGTGCAATGCTTTGCTCTCCGACTGTCCCGACAAAGCACCCGTTTCCGGGGGGGGGGAAGGAGGATTCGGTGAAAACGCCCCCCCACAACTTTTCCGCCACTCTGCCCTCTCTGTGCTCCCAGCGCACAGGCCCGGCCCCAAGCCGAGCCGGGACAGGGGGGTCCCGCAGTCCGAGGCGGGCACCGCGGCGGCGCCAGGGGTCACTTCCTGCGGCTGAAGATGCCCTTCTTGCTGGCGCTCTTGTCGGAGGAACTCAGCCCGATGAGGAGCCGCGCCTTCTCGTCCTCCTCCTGCTGCTGCAGGCTCGTGTCCGACTTGCCGTCCGGCGCCTTGCCCTTCGTGTCCGAGCTGGAGGCCGGCTTCAGCCGCAGCTTCTCCTTGATCATCTGGGGAGAGAGGGCGCCTCGTTTACAGACAGCAGCACTGGCCGACTGGCTGCTCAGTGCAGCACTGCTGTAGCCCCACCAGGGGGCGCCATGCGAGTGAAATCATGGTAGAGGCATGTCAGAGGACAAAGGCACTGCTCCAGGGGTGCTGTATAAATGGCTGACCCTGCGCTCTGACCCCCAGCTTCTCTCCCTGTCTGTGTGTCTCCTGGAGAGCAAGCCGGGGTCTGTGAAAAGACAAATTCCTCACACAAGAAATTGTTTATGGCCAATAACGTAATCTTATCTGATCTCTCTAAACCACTGGACGAACAGCAAGCACCCATGGGAAAACAAGGAAACGTGCCGGTCTCCAGTGTGACCCCTACCCAGTGCTGGAGTGGAAAATTTAGGGGACCGTTAGGCATCCATATTTGTGAAGCTTCGACATCTGTACGTCCTATGTTTGCAATTCCAAAAAGCAGCCTCTGTAAACAATAGATTCTTTGAATTTTACATGTCTTACGTCTGTAAATCTAAAGAGGCAACTGTAACTACAGTCAGTGGTAGGAAGCCATCACCATAACAAACAGCAACTGCAGGAGTTAAGGAAGCACAGAAGCTTGGTAATTAAATATGACGTACAGTATTAATACTACTTAAGAGCAGGAATATTGATTATGACTAATCAGCTGACAAGAATGTATCTATGTTAAATCTATACTTACCTGCTTGTTTACTTCTGCATTGTCTACTGTTTGTTTGTATATTGTGTTGATGCACTGTCTGCACTTTGTGTTTTTCCACTTGTTTTAACAATCGAGAGACTTTCCGTAAGAATTCCATTGTACCAGTACATAGACCGGTTACATATGGCAATAAAATTCAAGTTCAAGTTATGAATATCATGATTGTTGTAATCACAATTTCTTTAAGAGATATAATCAAATACGCTGTGTGAAAGGAGAGTTAAAAGAACCAGGCAGACTCCAGGACTAGAGGGGAGGTAAGAAGAGCAGGGAGACCTGATACATTTGAAGTTAAAAACAGCTCTGGGAAGTGAAAAAAGATCAAGGCCACTGCAATCTCGGCTCGAGCTGGTTCTGAACCGAGAGAAACTAGCCGGAGAAAAGTCAGACGCTAGCCCACGCCTCTGTCTGGCCCCTTGAGCAGATAAAAGCAGGGTCCAAGGAGAGAGGAAGCCGAGTTACAGGCTGCAAGCAGTCTCCCGCACGCATGGCAATAAAGCCTCTGCCAGCTGAAACTCCGCGGTGTGCCGAGTGATTCTACACAAGACAAAGCTGCCCTACCCCGCGGCGGGTACAGGTCGGAGCAGTACCTGCGCCACCAGAGCTTTGCGGCTGTCCCTCTTGACCGCCATGGCGAAGTCCAGCCAGGTCCAGGTGTTGTTGTGGTATTCCAGACAGGGCAGTACAAGGTTCAGGTCCTTCCAGTCCACACTGCTCTTCTCGCCCTGCAGACACACGCGCACATGCGACACACACGTTTGCTTTACCGCGGTACCAATTCTCACATGGGCCGACTACGTTCTGTTATCCGAAAATTATTTAAGGGCACGAGTCGCATTACTTTCCCCCTTAATATGTTCCTTGAGGGTGTGGCATAAACCGCCTTAAATGCAAATCAATAGCCTAATTAAGAGGAAAGATCACTATATATACATACACACTATAATATGTATTAAATAGCATATTTAATACTCAAGAAAGGCTTCATCATCATGAAAACTGCCCACCGTCATCTTGCTCCTTAGCTTTGAAGTATTCCAGGTACAGAATCCCAACATGTGTACAGATTTCGGGAAAAGAGCAGTGACAAGCAGTAGGACGTAAAAATTATGAGCCGTGATCAGACATTTAGCCTGAATGATGATTCCAGAGGGAATTGAAGTGTGTAATCTCACCGGGGGGAAAATAATCTGCATGTGATTGCAAGGACGAGGGACACTGCAGAGAGGCTGCTGGGGCATCTTAATAACCCTAATTCAAGTAACTTTCTAGGGGATGCAGATCCGATTCTACAACATCAGGAAAAAAAAAGTGGTTCTCCAGTTCCGAAATATTGGGGAACAGTAACACTACGTTGTTGTACTGAAGGGGAGGGACGGACAGGAAATTACATAGAGTGTAAAAATTAAGTTGCAACTGGAAAAGTAATCATAATGCCTACGATTGCAGTGAATCGCAGCAAAAGTGATGAGTCTGAGTCATGAATACAGGGAGGGAGCCCAGACTACTCCCAGGGGCTCGGCTGCCTGTGCGCTGGGCCGTACTGACCTTGTAGCTCACGCACAGAGGCACCTGGGGGATCTTGATATAGATGAAGGAGTTGTTCATGGCCGCCCTCTCCTTCATCTTGTCGATATCATCCACGGGGTGCTGGGCAGTAGAGACAGGGCCCCGTTAACACAACCGCAAACCGGAGAGCTCTTCATGTTCTGGTCTCCACCCCCCAGCCCCACAAACCAAGCAGTGCTAACGGGTTGTAACGCAAAATATTCCTCTTCAGTGGGCAGGTGTATCAAAAGCAGAGAAACAAAAAAGGATGAACTTCTGTGAAGAGGTATTATTCCCTGAGCTAGTATAGAAAGGCAAAACACATTTAAATCTGCTTGCAGGAACTCTTCCACTTGCATTCTGAATTGTTTCGTTACAACGTCTTTTCAGGTAAATGCAAACCACCACAAGTCCAGTTTTATAAATAGGGCTTGTAGTGTTGTAACCAGAGGTGTGAAGGAACCTATGCCTGCTTTGAGTTAACAATAAAGTCTTTAAGAATTGTCTTATTGCTTTGTGCATTCCTGGTTGGCCAAGGTCTCTGGAATGGAGATGTAATTCACGTATCCTACGCTCCAATTTATAAGCAGGGGTCTTGGTTAATTGCCCAAGGTGACCTTAGCTAAATACCTTTCTTCTGACCTTATTTACAACTTACAAGGTAACAAACTGTTACTGACCCATTATGAAAACATGTGATTTTGTTTGGAATTTCTGCTCATCTTCAAGAATGAAAGCCTTTTGTTCTGTTTGGAAAAGCGAGTGAGAGGCGAGCAGTTAATCTGTTAACCTTGTCTGTCCTCCTTTCTCTATTGCAATAAAGACATCCCGATTGGATTAATCGGAACCGTGTGTGGTTTTCTTCGTGGAGTCTAACAGGTGCGACACAGGAAATGAAAGGAAGCAAATAAACCAGAGACCCCAGACGCAGGAAAGAAAAAGAGGTGTCAGCTGTACCTCTGGGGGCTTGCGAAATGACCTCCTGACCCCTGAAGTGCGGTTCAGTCCCTGGGTGACCCCCTTGCTGGGCCCCAGGGCGCCCACAGAGTCCTCCGAGAGCTGCCGAGGTTTCACCGCGGGCACCCCTGCAGAGAGAAGGACACACTGGGCATCACACTGGACACAGCGGTGGACATTGCAAACTCTCAGGCATAACCTCCCTTCATCCCTCAAGAAC